AGTCAAACCCTTCAGAGATAGTTATATACGTAGCTATAGTTTTATCTGTATCTGTATCTGTACATGTATAGCCGGTATAACCGCCTTTCGGCGTAACACACCAGCTTCTGTATCTGTATAGCCGGTATAACCGCCTTTCGGCGTAACACACCAGCTTCGCAGGCACGCGGCGCGGCGGCAGCTGGCTATATTACACCGATCGACTTGTTACACCTAACCCTTGAACTTCTAGCTCTAGACATTGTTTAAAGCTATCTATTGACAGTGCCCCTACTATACTTGGTGACAGTGAGTTCCACTCTGCGATAGTTCTAGGAAAGAATGAATTCTTGAACACCTCAAAGGCTCAATCCTTGGTTGATAACTCTGGTACTTGAATGCGTGGCTATTTCTTGTTCTCTTCTGGGCTGGTATTAGGTACTTAGTAGTTGGGACATCCACCAGTTTATTAGTCATTTTGTACATCATGCATGCATAGTCTAGACATCTTTCTTCTGTCTTCAAGTGAGGTCCACTGTAGGTTTCTTTTCATTTCCGTGACACTAGCACCTCTTACATAGTTGTTCATACAGAATCTTGCAGCTTGATTCTGTACCCTTTCCAATTTGTCTTTGTCTTTCTTTTAGATAATTACCTCGTGTTATTATGTAGATTATGAAGTCATTTTTCCTGACCCTGTTTCAATGTACTTTTATCTTTGTTATTTACAATTAGCCTTCGCGCAGGAATTTGAAATAAACATATTATTAGTCACATACTAGTCTAGTTAGAGGTACAAGGAAAGATTTTTCTTTCTCGTCCTTTCAAGATGACACATGTCACGTTGCGACGGTTTCAGTTGACTGTCAGATTCCGTCACAGTTTTGCGTGTGACAACACTGCGACACTCCCGCCAGCCATTGCGGCTTCAGTGTCAGTCAAAGTTGGACTGTGTCTTGTTTTCTTTTTTTTTTAGACATTATTTTTTTTATTCATCAAAACATAAAAGACATAACAAGGACAGTGTGGCGCTGCACTCAAGTTAACAACTTATATTAACAGCGCCACACAACAAAAAGGTACAAAAGTTTAAAAGTTGACATAAGTTATCAAAAGTTGACATATCTGTGCGCCGTAGTCCCACCACCCCAAGACATTAAAATGTTAAATTAAAATGCTAACAGAGCTATTTGAAAGATAAGATTACACGGTAACCTCCTCTATCTCATTGGCGGAAAAACATCCGTCAATCAGAGCTAGGAGGGGAATTTAGGCCCATTAACACTTACGTAGTATTTAGACTTCTATATCTAATTGACATTATTTTTTTCGGACAGTCTTTGCTTTCTGTTGTTTTTTCTTAATTTTCTATTTCTGATGTACTA